GCGTGCGTGCGTGCGTGCGTGCGTGTGTGTGTGTGTGTGTGTGTGTGTGCGCGCGCGCATGTGGAGGCCTTATGTCAATTTTGGGTATCATTCTTCAGGCCCTGTCTACAGTTTTGTTTGTTTTGAGATGGGGTCTCTTATTGGCCTGACTCACCAAGTAGATTAGGCTGGCCAGGGATCTGTCTGTCTCCCCAGGCTGGGATTACAATACATAAGTGAAATAAAAAAATTTTTAAAAAGAAGGATAGTCTCTTACACAGTGGAACTTAATGATCAACACTTGGATATTAAAAACCGATGTATAATTATTATACAATATTTAGTCCTCATTAAAACCTGTTGGGTTAGAAAGATGACTCAGTGGTTAGGAGCAGTTGGTGCTCTTGCCCAGGGCCCAGACTGATTCTCAGCACCTATATGGTAACTTAAAACTGGCTGTAACTCCAGTTCCAGGGGATCTTTTGTCCCCTTCTGGCCTCCTTGAGCACTGCATGCATGTGGTACACATATACATAAAATGAAAACAAATAAATTCTAAAACAGTTGACTTCAATGTTTTTCATATAACCTTTTGTCTAATCTACGACCATGAATTGCCTTTATTTGTGATGTTTGCTCTTTTGGTCTGGCTACTTCCTTGGTTTTTTCAGTCTTTTATAACGTTAATCTTTTTGAGGCGCACAGGCCAATTGTTTTCAGACTGTCCTCAAATTGTGGTTTATATGATTCTCTCCCCATTATGAGGTTTAGGCCATAGATTTGGGGAAGGAATAAAATATACAGGCTATGAGTTTTCGCACACATCATTCCAGGAGGGGTGTGATGTTGCCTTATCTTGCTATTACTGATGCTAATTGTGATTATCTGGTTGTCAGGTCTGCCAAGTTTCTCTACTGCAAAGGTTATACATTTTTTTTTCCAGGAGATTCTTTGAGACTCTGTTACAATCTTGTTCTCCAACAAACTTTTACCCAATGGTTTTAGCACTCTTTTGGTGAGTCTTCCCAAATGATTTGTTACTATGGTGGTTGCAAAATAATTTTTTAATCCTGTATAAATGAACCTTAAAAAGTTGCCGGGTGTGGTGGTGCACGCCTGTAGTCCCAGCACTTGGGAGGCAGAGGCAGGCAGATCTCTGTGAGTTCAAGGCCAGTCTGGTCTACATAGTAAGTTCCAGGACAACTGGGGCTACAGGGAGAGCCTGTCTCAAAAACAAGCAAACAAACAAAAAACAAAAACAAACAAACAAAAAAAGTAGATTGTTGGATTAGGGCTGTAGCTCAGTGGGTAGAGGAGCTAATTACTTGTTTACACATTAATAAAGCAGTATTTTCTTTTGTGTAATTTAATTTTTTTGATTTATTTCATTCACTGGGATAAATTTTCACTTTCTCAAGATTGATTATTGCTGGACTGGGGGTATAACTCAGTGGTAAAGTACTTACCTAGCATGTGCAAGGCTCTGGGTTTAACCCTCAGCACTGTAAACAGCAACAGCAACAAAGTGAATAAAAAAAGAAAGAAAAGTAAATTGTTGTAGTGAGCTAACTTTTTAAGTTATTTACTTATTTGCTTTATTTGTTGACGGTTTCATACACGTATAGAGTGAACTTTAGTTGTTTTCATCCCAGTATACTTCATCCCCTCCCTCTTAGTCCTCATTAAAATTTGACTTAAGGATTTACAGAGGTGGCTCAGTGGTTAAGAGCACTGGCTGTTCCTGCAGAGGACCCCAGTTCGGTTCCCAGCACCCACATGGTGGTAACCATCCATTAATTCCAGTTCCAGGGGATGTGACACCCTCTTCTGGCATCCACAGGCATTGCATGACATGGGTGCACTTATACACATGCAGGCAGTACACTCATACACATAAAATAAAAATAATAGACAATAAAATAAAAAATTGACTTAAAATGACATGCCCTCCTCCAGCAACCATTACCTGTCATTTGAAGGGGTGGTGTCTCACGAGCCCCTCCCTCATCCCTGATTAAATGTTGACTGGCCCAGTCTTATGCAGGTAACCACGGTTTCAGGGAGTTGGTGAGTGTTAACTGAGCAACATGTTTTGAGAGAAATCTGTCTCTACCTGAAAACTATTTCGGCACCCTCTGTTTTCCTAATCACATTTCATGGTTTTATGCCTTGCTTCCACGGTGGGCCCTACATGTTTAAGTCAGATTTAAACATTTTCTTGAAAGAGTATATGTAATGTAAATATCAGATCCTTAATATACAGGCATTGAGCTATTCATATACACATATACACACAGCTGTAAAATGTTTATAAGCTTTTGACTTTCCCACTAGATTTTATTTACAATTACATAAAATGTTTCTCACATTTCATGACTAATTGCATTGATTGTAATAAGGAGGAAATAATGGGATATGGAAATGTAGCTCCCTCCCCTGAACGTTTTATTTTACATCTAACTTTATTAGTCCAAGAATTTAAAAAATTGAAATATAGTTTTCTTTCTCTCTTCTTTTCCTTTCCCTTCCCCTTCCTTCCTTCCTTCCTTCCTTCCTTCCTTCCTTCCTTCCTTCCTTCCTTCCTTCCTTCCTTCCGTCCTTCCTTCCTTCCTTCCTTCCTCCCTTTCTTCTATAGGATCTTACTCCATAGCCCAGGTTGATCTGGCACTCACTATATAGCCTGGGTTAGTCTTGAACTCATAGCCATCTTTCTATTTTAACAGCCTGAGTGCTGAGATTACAGGTGTGCACTACCACATCTGGCTGGTTATTTCTTTACTTATTTTGAGACAGGGTCTTCCTATTAGCCCAGGCTGACCTGGAACTCTGTTCCTTCTGCCTTGGTCTCCCGAGTCCTGGGATTACAGGCATGTGTTACTATTCCCAGCTGATGTGTTATATTTATTACAATAATGACTATGCATGAATTCACTCTGGACCACTTTTTCTTGGGGCTTTCATGGACAAAATGTTTCCTAAATTTTTTTGATTGATTTTGAAATTTTATGTTTATGAGTGTTTTGCTCCCATGTACGCAAGTGTAACTGTGTATACAATGCACATGGAGGCCAGAAGAGGGTGTCAGATCCTCTGGAACTGGCGTTAAAGATGGTTGTTATCTGCTATGTGGGTGCTGGGAACTGAACCTGGGTCCTCTGCAAGAGCAGTCAGTACTCTTAACCACTGAGCCATCTCTCCAGCCTTAGACAAAAATGTTTTTTACAGTAATGAACTCAATCTTGATTACACCATGAGGTAGATACTATCGGGGAAACTAAGGCACAGAAAAGAGGCACAATTTGCCAGAGATGCACTATTTAGTAGATCTGTGATTGAAACTCAAACTATCTTCAGGAGTTCTGGCTGTGAGATTGAATGGCTAAGAATATAAAGATGAAGTAACCTCTCCACTTGGAGCCTTAACATGATTGCTGTATTGTTTTTAGCATGACAAAGTAGAATAGAATTGAGACTAGAAAATTTTCAGGGATGCCTTTAGAAATAGGTTCAAGTTTAGATGAAGGAAGTTATTTTCTTTTCCTTCCAGGGGCATATAAAATATCTTCAGACTCAACTGATTTTATCAGGCAGATGTGCTCTGAGATACTGGCCCATTTCTGCATGCTACACATGTTTATTGGGTCATCCAAGCCTTGTATAAAAATACAAGCAAAATCATCCAGAAATGTTTATATTCTACCAAATGAATTCAGTGTGTGAAGTGGGAGCTTTACTCCAAGCCTCATATGCTTTCTCCATTCATAAACCACATCTGGACGGCTTTCAACAATGGAATCTGAGGTGTATGTGCCAGGTGTTTACAGAATTCTTCCTGAATCAGACTAAAGGGACGTTTTTCTTGCACAATATGGCAATGTTTTCTTCTTTATTAATTATATTACTATTATGGTTGCTATTTGGTGTGTGTGTATGTGTGATGTATGTGTATGTACATGTATGGGCTGGTGTGCTCACCTGTATGTGTGTGTATGGAGGTCAGAGGTTGACATAAGGGAGTCTTCCTCAATCACTTCTCTACCTTATTTTTTTGAGATAGGTTCTCTCATTCAACTTGGCACTCACCATTTTGGCTAGACTGGTTGACCAGTGAGCCCCTAGGATTCGCCTGTCTCCATTCCTAGTGCTGGGCTTACAGGCATGCACAGCCACACCCAGCTTTTTACATTGGTTCTAGGGATCTGATGTCTGTCCTTTTGCTTATGCTGCAAGCACTTTACCCAGTTATTCTTATTACTGTTTTTGTGTGTGTATGTGTGGTACTGGGGATTGAACCTAGGGTCTTATATATGCTAAGCAAATGCTCTTCCACTGAGTTATAACTCCAGCCCTTTCTTTCTTCCTTTAAAATGTTTTTGATTTACTTATTTTTATTTTATATTGTATGAGTGTTTTGCTGGCATGAATGTAAGTGTATTCATGTGTGTAATACCTGCAGTGACCAGAAGAAAGCCTTGGATCCCCTGGACATGGAGTTATGGATGGTTGTTAGCTGCCATGGAGGTGCTAGGAACTAAACTTGGGTCCTCTCCAAGAGCAGCCAGTGCTCTTAACTGCTGAGTCATCTCTCTAGCCCCTCCCTTCCTCCCTCCTTCCCTCCCTTCCTCCCTCCCTTCCTTTCTTTTTTCCTTTTATGAAATGTCTGTTGGTACAGGGAAAGACATAATTGCATCTTTTAAAAGTTGAGCTAGAGATGTAGCTCAGTTGGGATAGGGCTTGTGTAGTGTACATGAAGTCCTGGTTCAATCTTCAGGACTGCATAAACCAGGTGTGGCGGTGCACACCTAAAATCTCTGTACTTTGGAGATGGAGACAGGAAGATCAGAAATTCAAAGTTATCCTTGGCTATATAGCCAAGTTTGAGGCCATCCTGGGCTACATGAGACCCTGTCTTCCCTTGAAATTCAATATTGAGTCATAATTTGCATACAATGTAAATACATTCATTTTAAGTGAAGACATAATTTTTAATTACAAGGTTTCTTTTTTTCCTCTAGGATCCCCACACCTAGCATGGAGACCTGGAAGACTTTTTTGGTGATCATCTCTCTTGTGGCTAGATTTGGCTTCATAAAGTCACAGAGGATTGGTAATGCATGGGATTCTTTTTAAAAGTGTTTCCTTATTTTTGAGATGTTCATACATGTGCACAATGAAATTTAATAATCTATACCCCCTTCCCCTCTCCATGTGTATGCTAATCCTTCACATATGTGCATGGGTGTGGGGCCATCCACTGAAACATGGAAATTCTATATTCTCCCTCCTCCAGAAACCATCAATAGCCAAAAGTTACTCAGAAAGGGGCAGGGTCTGGGGAGACCATCCCCATCTCTACTAGACTTTTGGCTGACTTGATCTTGTACAGGTCTTGTTACCACAGTTGCTGAGTTCATGAGAGCACTCGTCATGTCATGTCCAGAAGGCAGCAATTCACAACACTCCTCCTATCCTCCGGGTTTTACATCCTTTTTGCCTCCTCTTCCTCAACGTTCCCTGAGCCTTTGTGGGGGGTGGCTGATACAGCTGCTCCATCAGGGCTGAGAACTCACAGTCACTATTCTCAGCACTTTGACCAGTTATGCCTCTGTTTTGGTTCCCTTTCTGCTGCTGTGATCAAAATGTTGTGACCAAAGGCAACTTGGGGAGGAAAGGATTGACTTGGCTTATACTTCCAGATCACAATCCATCACTGAGGGAAGTCAGAACTGGAACTCAAAGCAGGAACCTGGAGGCAGGAATCATGGAGTAATGCTGCTTGATAGGTCTCTGTCTGACCTATGCTTAGCTAGCTTTCTTTTTTCTTCCTTATTTTACGTGTGTTTTACCTGTGTGTTTTTAAGTGCATCACATGTATGCAATGCTCACAGAAGCCAGAAGAGGGCATCAGGTCCCCTGGAACTGGAGTTACAGAGAGCAGTCATGTGGGCTCTGGGAACTGAACCTGGGTCCTCTTCAAGAACAGCCAATGTTCCTAACCACTGAGTCATCTCTTCATCCCTTAACTGTTTTCTTAAATAGCCTAGGACCACCTTCCTAGGGTTGGTGCTACCCACAGTGGGTTGGGCCCTACCATATCAGTCATCAGTCAAAGCAATCTCTTAGCGACATCACCTTAGGCTAATCTGATTGGCAAGTTCCTCAGTTGAGCTTCCCTCTTCCCAGGTGAGTCTAGGTTGAATCAAGTTGACAATAAAAACTAACCAATATAGCATCTCTCCATTGACTGCTGCCCACTACATGAAGGAGGTGCTCTGAGCAAGGTTGAGAGCCCAGGTCTGTGAGTATAAGCACAACTATTTCGAAGACGCTTTGACAGTATGAGCATTAGTGAAATAATAGCATGTTCTACCCCAGGCCTATGACCTCCTGAACCATGGGTATTTAATTAATTAATTAGTTAATTAATCTGCCTTTTCCATGAGACTCCACTTGGCCAAGGTTAGGAAAACTTCTGCATGGGAGGTGCCAAGACTCTAGGATTGACAGAAGGATTTAGTGTCCCTGGATTACATTTGGCTCAATTGCTTTCCTTAGCCAGCAGCTTTTTATTTATTTCCCCTCCTTTCCAGCTTTTACTTGGTGTTATATGGCTGTTTTCTCAGGGTTGAACATGAGCTCTGTTGTGTTGGATCTGAGCAGCTGTCACCACTCACATGAGACCCTTACGAGATTGGGCTCACTCATATTCTCTTGGGGGGCGGGGGAGGCTCACAAGGCTCAGGAGGCACATGAAGCCCCGCCCTTCCTCAAGGCTGTATAAGCGCCTAACATTTGCGGAAGGGGAGAGTCTGCTGTGGTGTAGTCCCTTATAAATTGCTCATGCTCCTGTAAGTATTTATAATTTTTTACCTAAAAGGAACTCTTTTCCTCAGTCTGCAGGGCAGCCTCTGTGGGAGATGTCGTGTTTCTGGTGGACTCCAGCATCAACCCCCAGCATGCCCGCATCATGCGGAACTTCTTGTATGCCTTGGTAAACACCTTCAATGTCAGCCGGGAGACCATCCGCGTGAGTCTGGCCCAGTACAGCGATGTGCCACGTTCCGAGTTCCTGCTTTCCACTCACCACCGCAAAGGCGACGTGCTGAGGCACATACAGCGGCTTCAGTTTAAACCTGGAGGCAACAAGATGGGCCTCGCTCTGCAGTTCATTCTAGATCATCACTTTCAGGAAGCAGCGGGGAGCCGGGCAAGCCAAGGGGTGCCTCAGATAGCCATGGTGGTCAGTAGTGGCAGGGCTGAGGACCACATCCGGGAACCTGCGGAGGCACTCAGGAGGGCCGGTGTCCTGCTGTATGCTGTTGGCATCAGAGATGCTGCTCAGGCAGAGCTCAGGGAGATTGCGAGCAGTCCCAAGGACAAGTTCACCTCCTTTGTCCCCAGCTTCTCTGGTCTGCCTGGCCTCGCCCAGAAACTGCGGCAGGAGCTCTGTGAAACTCTAGTCAAGGCAGCTCGACGGGTGGACCCGGTGACTCCAGGTACTTATCCTTTTCTTTTCTCTTTCTCTTTCTTTTTTACCTCTTTCTTAGTAGACGTAACAGAACCCCAAACTTTGTCTCTTGTGGATTTTTTCTACTTTCTTATTTCCTACGTGTGCACGTTTAATTCTGAGACTGAAATTTCACCAAGCAAGCTGTGTTTCTGCTCCTCCAACCACTGACCAAAGACTTCCAACCCTGCTGATCTTGTGGTCTTTCTATACGCTGATGGAAGAATTATTTATTCTACAGTGATACTATTACGCCTAGGTTCACTTGCTGGTCTTGCTTGGCTGTGGAGGCCTGGGAGGTCTGTGGAGGCCTGGGAGGTCTGTGGAGGCCTGGGAGGTCTGTGGAGGCCTGCGGAGGTATGGGAGGTCTGTGGAGGCATGGGAGGTGAGAGGGCCAGGAATTTTACTTCATTTACCAGCATATTGGTTAAGAAGATAGATTTTATAGAAAAGGGGTCTAGGTTTAGATCCAAGCTCTTCACTGCCAGTGTCACCTTGGTAAAGCCATTTAACCTCTGAATGTAAATTTTCTTTCTAGGTTGATGTCTTGGAGAGTTGTTGAAAGCATTAAGTAAAAACTGTTCAAGTAAAATGCTTGGCACAGTGGCTACCTAACCAGAGCTACCCAAGAGCATTTCCTGCTGGTACCTGTCAGCAGCTGTCATAAGAGTGTCCCCGGCCTCGACTATTTTCTTATGTTAGTAAGGGGATCCAAATTGATGAAAAATTTTCATAAATTAATCACTAAGCCTTAAGTAGAACAGATCATTTATTTGTTTATTCATTTATTCACTTGTTTATTTGTTTTTGAGACAGGGTCTCCTCTTAGCCCCAGCTGACCTTGGACTCACTAGACAGACCAGGCTAGCTTTGGTCTCATAGAGGTCTATCTCTGCCTCCCGAGTGCTGGGTTGAAAGCCCTGTGCCACCATGCCTGGTCAAACATTTTTTCTTTTTTATTAGTTAATTTTTTTTTGGCCTTTTTTGAGACAGGGTCTCCCTGTAGCCACAGGTTGGCCTGGAACTCACTATGCAGACCAGGATGGCCTCAATCTCACAGATATCCACCTGCCTCTGCCTTCCAAGTGCTGGGATTAAAGGCGTTCACCACCATGACCTGCTAACTTTATTTTTTTATTTTTATTTTTTTATTGAATTTTTGTGTATTTCGTACATAAAATCATCTTTATACTCCTTTCCCCCTTCCCCTTTGGCACCCTCCCGTAGCCCCCCCCCCATTGGAGTTCATACATTCTGTCATTTGTGTTAAAGCCTGTTATGGAAAGTTAGTGTCCTGAGATACTCCCTCAGTGTAAATTCATCCACTGGGGTTTAGTTACTATCTAGTGTCTCTTCCTTTGAGAAGATCAGCTCTTCCTCACCCAGCAGTAATCAGTTACCAACCATTCTTTGACTAAGATTGGGACTTGTTCATTTCCACAGTTCTGTGCTGGGTTTTAGTCTGCCTAGGTTTGCATGAGTCTTGTGCATGGTGACACCATTGCTGTAGATTTGTATGAGAAGGGTCGCAGGCACCTGTAGGACTATTTCCGTAGGGTCGTGCACCTCCTCCCTGGTTATTACAGTCTTTCTGCCCCCTCTTCTGCAGTGGTCCCTGAGCCTTGGGTGGGTGGATCTCAGTATAGGAATCCTGTCCAAGGACTCACACTCCACTGACTCTTTGGTGTCTCTGGTTTTGGCCATTTATGGCATTTTGTGTTCCTGGCCCTCTGTTGCATGAGGGAGCTTCATTGATGAGAATTGAAAGATGCATTAGTGTTCTCTTCATCCTTGTTCCATGAGTCTTAGATGAAGAAGTTGCATCCTAGATGTGCCACTTAGGCTTGGGCAATTCACAGAGAATCTCTGTGTATGACCAGTTGTGTAAATAACTCTGTAGTAATCTTTGTTGAAAAAAAGCTATATTGATGGGTGGTGATTGGGATACTTGTTTATAAGGATTTGGTGATCCACAAATGAGGGAGAACAAACATCTTTTGTTTTTCTGAGTCTGTGTTACTTCACTTAGTGTAACAGTTTCTAGATCCATCCATTTACCTGCAAATTTCATTATTTCATCTTTCTTTACTGCTGAGTAGAACTCCATTGTGTAAATATACCACATTTTTGTTAACTGCTCATCAGTTGAGGGGCACTTAGGTTGCTTCCATCTCTTAGCTATTGTGAAAAGAGCAGCAACAAACATGATTGTACAAGTGTCTCTGCACGAGGATGAGTCCTTTGGGTATATGCCAAGGAGTGGTATAACTGGGTCAAATGGTAGGTTCAGTTTTAGGTTTTTAAGAGTTCTCCACACTGCTTTCCATAGGGGTTGCATGAGTTTGCAATCCTATCAGCAGGGAATGAGCGTTCCCCTTTCTCACATCCTCACCAGCATTTGGTATCATTTGTTCTCTTGATCTTAGCCAGTCTGACTAGAGTAAGATGAAATTTTAAGGTGGTTTTAATTTGCATTTCCCTGATTACTAATGATGTTGAACACTTTTTAAGATGTTTCTTAGCCATCTTTATTTCTTCCTTTGAGAACTCTCTGTTTAGATCTTTACCCCATCTTTTAATTGGGCCATTTGTTTTCTTGATTCTTTGTTTTTTGAGTTCTTTATATATTCTGAATGTTAAACCTCTGTCAGATATGTCCCTGGTGAAGATTTTTTTTCTCTGTGGGTTTTCTGTTCACTTTCTTGGCTGTTTCTTTTTCTGTACAGAAGCCTTTTAGTTTTATGAGGGAGGTCCCACTTGTTGATTGTTGACCTTAATTCCTGAGCAACTGGTGTCTGATTTAGAAAGTCCTTTCCTACATCTGTATCTTATAGGTGATTGCCACTGTTTTCTTCTAATAGTTTCAGAGTTTCCAGTTTCACGTTAAGGTATTTGATCCATTTGGAGTTGACTCTTGTGCAAGGTGAAAGATAAGGATCTAGTTTCATTCTTCTACAGGTGGAGATCCATTTTTGACAGCATCATTTGTTGAAGATGCTGTCTTTCCTCCATTGTGTATTCTTGACACCTATGTCAAATATCAGGTGACTGAAATTGCGTATGCTCAGGTTTGGGTGTTCAATTATATTCCATTGAAAATATTCTATTTTTGTGCCAGCACCATGCTGTTTTTATGACTATAGCTCTGAAGTATACTTTGAGATGTGATATAGTAATCTCCCCAGTGTTGTTCTTTGTGCTCAGGGTTGCTTTGGCTGTTTGGGGTCTTTTGTGCATCCATATGAATTTAAGGATAGTTTTTTTTCTAATTCTGTGAAGTATGTCATGGAGATTTTTTTTAAAAATTGGGATTGCATTGAATCTATATATTGCTTTTGGTAGGCTGGTCATTTTCACAATATTAATCCATGAACATGGGAGCTCCTTTCATCTTCTGGTGTCTTCCTCAATCTCTTTAAAGATTTAAAATTTTCCTTGTAGAGATCTTTGATGTCTTTGGTCAGGTTTATTTCAAGATATTTGATATGAGGCTATTGTGAATGGGAGGGTTTCTCTGTACTCTTTCTCTGATTGCTTGTTATTGGTATATAGAAAGCTTACTGATTTTTGTAGATTAATTTTGTAACCTGTTACTTTACTGAAAGTGTTGATCAGTTCTGGGAGTTTTCTGGTGGAATTTTTGTGCTCTCTTAGGTATAGTATCCCATATCATCATCTGCAAAAAAGGGGCAATTTGACCTCTTCTTTTCCAATTAGTACTCCTTTAATTTCCTTCTCCTGTTTTATTGCTCTAGCAAGAATTTCAAGCACTATATTGAAAAGGAGTGGAGATAGTGGAGAGCCTTCTCTGGTTCCTGATTTTAATGGGAATGCCTCCAGTTTTTCTCCATTTAGAATGATGTTGGCTGTGGGTTTGTTATATATAGCTTTAATTATGTTGAGGAATGTTCCTTTCTGTCCAATTCCCTTTAGAACTTTTGTCATGAATGCATGTTGAATTTTGTCAAAGGCCTTTTCTGTATCTATTGAGATGATAATGTGGTTTTTGTCTTAGTCCATTTATATGATTTATGACATTTATTGACTTGTGTATATTGAACCATCCCTGCATCTCTGGAGTAAAGCTTGCTTTATCATGGTGAATGATCTTTTTGATGTACATCTGTATGTGATTTGTAAGTATTTTGTTGAAAATTTTTGCATCTATGTTCATTAAGGATGTGGGTCTATAGTTTTCTTTTTTGGTTGTGTCTTTACCTGGTTTTGGTATTAGAGTGATGCTGGCTTCATGGAAGGAATTTGGGAGTTCTCCCTCTGTTTCTATCTTTTTGAATAATTTAAGTAGTATTGGTTGGAGATCTTCCTTAAATGTCTAGTAGAATTCTGCTGTAAATACATCTGGGCCTGAAGATTTTTTAGTTGGGAGGTTTTGTATTACTGTTTTGATTTCCTTATATGTTATGGGTTTGTTTAAACTGTTGATCTCTTGGTTTAACTTTGGTGTTTCCCATGATTTTAGATACCCATCTATTTCTTTTAGGTTTTCAAATTTAATAGAGTATAGATTTTTAAGGTATTCCCTTATAATGTTCTGGATCTTTTGGGTCTCTGTTGTGATGTTTCCCCTTCCATCTCTGATTTTATTGATTTGGATTTGCTCTGTCTTTCTTTTGGTTAACTGGGCTAAGGGTCTGTCTATTCTGTTTATCTTTTCAAAGAACCAGCTCTTAGTTTCATTGATTCTTTGTATTGTTTTCTTTGTTTCTCTTTCATTATTTTCTGCTCTGATTTTTATTTCTTCTCATCTGCTGAGTTTGGGTTTCATTTGTTCTTGCCTTTCCATTGACTTGAGTTGAAATGTTAAATCATTTATTTGTGCTCTTTCTGATTTTTAAAAAATATTTTATTAGTTGTTTTTATTTTATGTGTATTCGTGTATTGCCTGCATGTAGGTAAGTGCACCCCTGTCGTGCAATGCCTGTGGAGGTCAGAAGAGGGTGTTGGATCCCTGGGACTGGAGTTATGGACAGTTGTTAGCTGCCATGTGGGTGCTGGGATTCAAACCCGGGTCTTCTGCAAGAACAACCAGTGTTCTTAACCACTGAGCCATCTCTCCAGCCCTCTTTCTGATTTTTTAATGTAGGCACTTAGAGCTATAAATGTCCCTCTTAGGACTGCTTTTAAAGTGTCCCAGAGGTTTTGTTGTGTTGTATTGTCCTTTTCGTTTAATTCCAGGAATACTTTTATTTCTTCTTAATTTCTGCTTTGACCCACTCATCATTCAGGAGTGTGTTGTTTAACCTCCATGAGTTCATATAGTTACTAGGGCTTCTTCCAGTGTTGGTTTTAAGCTTTATTGCATTGTGATATGATAGAATGCATGGAATTATTTCAATCTTTTTGTATTTGTTGAGGTTTGTTTTGTGCCCCAATATATTGTCAGTTTTGGAGAAAGGTCCATCGGGTGCTGAATAGGAAATGTATTCTTTGTTGCTTGGGTAGAATATTTGGTAGATGTCTGTTATGTTCATTTGATGAATGGTATCATTTAATTCAGATGTCTATTATTCTGTTTTTGTTTTTTTAGTCTTTCTGAGACAGGGTCTCCCTGTAGCCCCAGCTGGCCTGGAACTCGCTATGTAGGCCAGGCTGGACTTAAACTCACAGAGATCTGCCTTCCCCTGCCTCCTGAGTGCTGGGATTAAAGGCATGAACAACCACACCTGGCTCTATTATTTTTCTGTTTGATCTCACTAATGGAGATAGTGGAGTACTATTATTGAGTTGGGGGTGATCTGTGTCTTAAATTCCTATAGTGTCATTTTTAGGAATTTGGGTGCACCAGAGTTTGGTGCATATATGTTCATGATTGTAATATCTTCTTGGTTAATTGTTCCTTTGATCAGAATGAAGTGACCCTTTTTATCTCTTCTGATTAGTTTTAGTTAAAGTCTTTTTTGTCACATATTAGAATTGTAATCCCTGCTTGTTTCTTAGTGCCATTTGCTTGAAATATTCTTTTCCATTCTTTCACCTTAAGGTACTGCCTGTCCTTATAGGTGAGATGGGTTTCTCGCAGACAACAAAAAGATGGATCCATTCAACTAGCCTGTGTCTTTTGACTGGGGAGTTCAGTACATTGATATTTAAAGTTATTATTGAAAGATGTATATTGGTTGCCATCATTTTGATTACTGTTTGCATTCTTTGTCTAATTTTGAGATTCCATAATTATAGCTTCATTTAGTTTCTTTCTGTTGCCCCTGGGGTATAGTTGTTCCTTTCTCAGTTCTTTGTATTGCTTCAAGTATTCTCTGAATGGCCGGTTTTGTGGACTTGTATTCTTTCAACCTATTCGTGTCGTGGAAGATTTTTTCTTTCCCCTTCAACCATAATAGACATTTTTTTCTGGGTAAAGTATTTTGGGTTGGTATCTGTGGTCATTTAGACCTGGAAATACCTTAATCCAGGCTATTCTGGCTTTCATAGTTTGTGTTGATAAGTCAGCTGTAATTCTGATGGGCTTTCCTTTCTATGTAACTTGTTTTTCTTTTGCAGCTTTCAGTAATCTCTCTTTGTTTTGTACATTTAGTGTTTTTACTATGATATGCCATGGGGAGTTTCTTTTCTGGTCCTGTCTATTTCGTGTTCTGTGTGCTTCTTGTATTTGTATGGGGATGTCTTTCCTTAATTTTGGGAAATTTTCTTCTACAATCCTGTTTAAGATCTGAAATTCCTCTCTTTCCTCTATGCCTATGATATGTAGATTTGGTCTTTTCATTGTGTCCCACATTTACTGCATATTCCATTCCTGTGTTTTAAAAAATTTATCATAATCTTTGCTTGGGAAGTCCAAGTCTTCAACTTTATCCTCCAGTGTTGATAATCTGTTTTCCATTTCATTCATTCTAGTGGTGGGGTTTTCTCCTGTCGTTTCAAATTGGCTTATTGAGTTTTTCACTTCCTTCTTCATTTCAGCCTTAGTTTACTTCAATGTTTTTATCTCTTTTGTGAATTCAGTGAGAAGTTTATTCCCATCTTCTTTTAGTTTTTTGATTTGTTTGCATGTTCTTTAAACTCATTGAATTCCTTGATCACAATGTTTATGATTGTTCTTTTAAATTCAGCATCCTGGGTTATTGCTAGGGGGTTCTCCTTGTAGAACTCTTCTACAGGACTGGTGGAGTTTTGTGGGAACATGCTGTTTTGGATTTCCATATTATTATTTTTCCATTGCGATTTTAGCATGTGGGTTTTTTGTTGTTTGTGAATCTGATATGAAACTCAGGCCTTCTTTTGTTGAGTTGAAGTTTGCTTCTCTTTGTATTATTGGTATGCCTTGGTTTTTTTCTTATTGGGTATGTAAAGCTGGTTGGTCTAGGTTTCAGGTTCTCTCAGATTTTATTTTGGAGGGAACTGATGGCTTTGGATCAGCTACTCAGGGCTCCCACAGAGGCCCAAGTCAGGCTCCAGTCAGGTGCACTGGCTTCCTTCTAATGTGTGGACCCCTACTAGTGGGCACACTACTCAAGGCCAGATTCAGGTGCTCTCAGGTGGTCTGCTAAGGTCTCAGCCCCTACCCTACTGCAGGGCAGAGAAGGCTACCTCTGGTGAACAACTTTATTTTTTTTAAACTTCTTGTTTTTTTTAGATAGGGTCTTCCTGGAGCCCCAGCTGGCCTGGAACTCACTATGTAGCCCAGGCTGGCCTCAATCTTGATCTCACAGATATTTGCCTGTCTCTGCCTCCCAAGTGCTAGGATTACGTGTGTCCCCTGTCACACCTAGCATAAACCTCTTACATGCATTTGTTTTAAATTAGTGGGCATCTGCATTGAATTTCCTAAAGTGAACAACTTTGAGTAGAGAAAGAGAAGATTGTGTGTGGTCTCTTTCAAAGCCCACAAGAGGACAAACCTTCATTATTTGTTATTTTGATATTCTTTTCTATGGAGTATATGAATTGATGAATTGGAAGAAGTGCCAAGACTTTTGACTCATTGATTTTTTTTCACCGGGTGACATTTATATGGCTAAATAAATATTATATACCTTGCTTTTTTATAGCTCTTCAAGATTTGCAAAGATGTTTTAAGTACATAGTCATAACTACCATTTATTTGATATGCTACAGTTTCTAAAACTTGTTTACTTGTTTATCTGATCCATTGTCTCAAGTGTGCAAATAAACAATTAGTACTATTTAAAAATTTATTATATTTTAAATTTGTGTGTATGAGTGTATTGTCTGTCTGTCTGTCTGTATGACTCATGTCATACAGTGCTCATGGAGGCCAGAAGAGAGTATTGGATCCCCTGGAACTGGAGTTACAGATGTTGTTAACTGCCATGTGGGTGCTGGGAAATGAACCCAGGTCCTCTGCAAGAGCAGCCAGTGCACTTAACCGCTGAGCCATCTCTCCAAACACATGCATTTCTGGAGGGGCTTAGTGAGGATATGCTGGTCAGAGAAGCAGGGAAAGTAAGGAAGGCCGTGAGCTCAGGCAACAGTTCCACAAACGGTAGTGTTGGCCTGACCCTGCAGGGCACTCGAGCATATGTTATGTCTTGGGGTTGTCTTGACCCTGAATCTGGGTCAAGCAAAAAACTAGGCTTTGTAAAATTTCAGAAAAGAAAGCAGTTCCAGCAGCTGGAGGGAAGTCTTCCAAAGAGCAATGCTCAGAAAATGGTAAAATGGTGAAAAGGAAGCTGAGGGACTGGACAGACCACTGATGTTGTCTGCTACATTAGATGATCCGGTTTTAGCCTCAGAACATCCCACAGGAACATAGGGGCTGGTATAAAGATTTTGGTGGGGCAGAGAATAAAATTAAGGCTCCAAGAGGTGAGTGACAGATAGGTCAAAGGGCTGATAAGGGGTAAAGCTGCAGTAAGACCTGTAAGGGAGATTTATTCCTGCCAATTCCTGTTAAGGGAATAGTCTAGATTTCTGACCAATGGCCAATGACTTATCTTGACTAGAAAGAGGACTGTCCCTTTTGCAGTATGCTGATAAATTTGTTCATGGCTTTCCTTCTTAATAAGATGAAAGGATTGTCCAAGTGGATTTTAAGGTTGGAGGTGGTAGAGCAGATCGGAAGCCATGGAAGGTGATGGGGTGTGGGGGATGCCACGCTGCCAGGGGGCAGGGGAGGGAAGGGATGGCACACTGCTATGACTGTTCCTTTCTATTCACCATGCAGCTCTACTGAGTCTAAGTATTTTGAGCAGTCTGTGACTCCATCCCTTTACCCTCTTTCTTGCAGCTTGCAGAGAAGCATCTCTGGCTGATATTGTATTCTTAGTGGACAGCTCAACCAGCATTGGACCCCAGAACTTCCAGAAAGTAAAGAACTTCCTTTACTCTGTTGTCTTGGGCCTTGACATCAGCAGTGACCAGGTCCAGGTGGGGCTGGTCCAGTATAATGACAACATCTACCCAGCCTTTCAGCTGAACCAGTACTCTCTGAAGAGTGTAGTTCTGGAGCAGATCCAGAATCTGTCTTATAGCACAGGAGGCACAAACACAGGGAGTGCCCTGGAGTTCATCAGAACCAACTACTTGACTGAGAGGGGTGGCAACCGGGCCAAGGATGGAGTTCCTCAGATAGTTATCCTGGTGACAGATGGAGAATCAAATGATGAGGTCCAGGAGGCAGCTGACTGGTTGAAAGGAGATGGAGTCATTGTGTATGTGGTAGGGGTCAATGTTCAAGATGTTCAGGAGTTACAAAAAATAGCCAGCGAACCATTTGAGAAGTTTCTCTTCAACACGGAAAACTTCAGCACCCTTCAGGATTTCTCAGGAAGCCTTCTTCAGGCTCTGTGTTCAACAGTGGGGAATAAGCTAAGAGGTAAGGTGTATCCAACTTCACCGTTCCAACTCTACCACTCAATAGCAGACTTCCAAAGGGGAAGGACGATCTGCCATCATGGGAGAATCTAGGAAGACTTCTAGAGGAAGGGAGGTCTGAGATGGGGCTGAAGGATGAATGGCATTCTCATGGGTAAAACAGAAGGGAGAAAACATCCCATCACACTGTTCAGAGCAAACAGCATGGGGTGTGGGGTCCAGAGGTGTGGGATCCAGAAGACCCGTGTTTTTCATTGTGCATCTCCATGTTTTACTTGTGAGCAACGGCTACAGCTTTACTTTAATTCAGTGTCTTCATGTGCACAAGAAGACAATAGTCTTTTTTAAAAAATATTTTATTAATTATTTTTATGCGTATGTGTGTATTGCCTGCATGTAGGTGAGTGCACCTGTGTCGTGCAATGCCCGCAGAGGACAGAAGAGGCTGTCGGATCCCCGGGACTGGAGTTATGGACAGTTGTTAGCTGCCATGTGGGTGCTGGGATTCGAACCCGGGTCTTCTTCCAGAACAGCCAGTGTTCTTAACTGCTGAGCCATCTCTCTAGCCGTGACAATAGTCTTTTAGAATGATTTCTGAGGATCAGATGAGATATAAAACTCTAGCTCAAAGAAACCACTGGTTCATTTCTCTTGTTTCTTCCATTGGTTGAAGAATAATAATATAGAACTATAAAGGCTATAAAGCAGACAGTAAATGCTTCAGGCCAGGAGAGAGAGAGAGAGAGAGAGAGAGAGAGAGAGAGAGAGAGAGAACTTGTGACAGAGTCCCAGAGTTGTAGAAATACATTACCTATTTCTCTCACATTGCCCACACCAAACCATCCTTGTACTCCATTTTTTTTGCAGGAACTCAATTTATTTTCTCATCTGTCTTTTCCTCCCACCTCCTTCTCTTTTTCAGCTCCAGAATTCACCAATTCCTATGCAGATGTGGTCTTTCTGGTTGATACCTCGCAGGAAACATCATGGGCTAGTTTCCAGTGGATACGGAACTTCATCGCTGGAGTGGTTGGCATGCTGGAGATTGGCAGGGACAAGTACCAAATTGGGCTGGCTCAGTATGGAGCTCAAGGTCACATAGAGTTTTTGTTCAATACTTACAAGACCCAGAAGGAGATGATCACTCACATCCAGGAACACTTTGTGCTCCGAGGTGGCTCCAGGAAGACAGGCAAAGCTCTGCAATACCTTCACCAGACCTTCTTCCAGGAGGCAGCGGGAAGCCGGTTCCTATGGGGCGTTCCCCAGTATGCAGTGGTCATTACCTCAGGCAAATCTGAGGACGAGGTCCGAGATGCTGCACAGACCCTGAGGGAGAAAGGTGTGGAAGTCATGTCTATGGGTGTACAGGACTTTGACAGGACAGAACTGGAGGGCATAGGGTCTCTAGCCCTTGTGTCTGACATTCAGGGAGAAGATGGAGTCAGGCAGCTAATTCGGGATGTGAGTGTGGTGATCCAGGGAACTCGACAACCAGAGGTCAGGATTGAGGCTGCAGAGGAAACTGTAGGAGGTAAGCCTTGGCCCCTTGCTATGTGAATTATTGGGAAGTCATAGCACAAGATGAAAGTCTTGGGATGTAGCTTATCTGGTAAGAGCACTTTCCCAACAAGCATGAAGCCCTAGGTTTTATCCCCAGCATGGTATATACGGGGTGTGGTGGTACATGCTTGTATTTTCAGCATCTTGGGGATGTGGCAGGAGGATCTGAAGTTCATGGTCATGCTCAGTTACATAGTGAATTCAAGACCAGGAAGAAGGAAAATGGAAAGAAGGAAGGAATGAAGGAAGGAAGAGGAGGAAGAAAGTCTTGAGAAAGAGCAGAGAGGGGCAGGGAGTGGATGCCTTGGTATTGAGGCACACTAGACCCTACATCCAGAGAAGAGAAAGCTGGCCTGGGAATGCCTCAAGTGTACATCTTGTATCTGTGGTAACCACAATGATGCTGCTTAACAAACCATCTGAAAAAAAATCAGTGATTGAAAATAATAATTTATCCTCACAGGTCTGGGATGCTGATCTTGGTTAGGTCTAACCTCATCATTTTGCTGATCTTGCCTGGGCTCATTCACGGATCTGAAATTTGAATGGGTGGACTGATCTGAGTTGGGCTCTGCTTTTGAGGTCACCAGGATGCTCTGGACATATCTCCCATGATAATGGCAGAGACACAAGTGAGAAACCCATAGAAATTGTTTTCAGATTCTTTCTGCACCTGCTAACATTCCATTAGCCAAAGCAAGTCATGTGACTGTCAGCAGCAGCGGAGGGAGAAAGTATATTGTTCCCATGGAAATGAGGAGCAGGGAGTGAACATTTCTGAATAATAATATAAGCCTCCTTATACTTTTCCAGATTGATCATTCAGCCTTTCCCCCAGAGATGAAGTCTTTTGTTAGGTTGGCATTCAAGGAGCTCAAGGGAGGCACTCTCAGCATTTTGGGAAGAACAAATTATAGGATTGTTGTGTGTTGTCAGAGGTGTAAGAATTCCGATTCCTGCTAGGAACATCTCTGAGTCATTATGCAATCCCAAACACCCTCATCTATTCCCCAAATGTTCCCTGAGGATGGTACAGTTTGGTTGGACACCACGGAGTCTCATCTTCTAGTCTCTTTACATATTCTGTGCACCAGCCACGCCGAACCACTCAGCACTTTCTGTAGCTATGTCTTGCCTTCCCGTCTGTTTTTTTACCCTGAGATGCACTGTACTAACATCCTGGATTGCCTGCAGTTGGAATTTCCCATTCAATTCTGAAGTTACTCTCCTGGGGAATCATTCCTTGACTCCACAGCTGATCTTTCCTCTCTCTGCATTGCCGTGGCTCTGTCTAGGCCCTATAGCATCTGGAGCTTTGGGAGTCTTTGCCGTTTTATGGGCAGGAGAGACAAATGTATATGAAACAAGAAGAGGAAAACCCAGCAGAGCACTAAGGAACTGAAAAGCACCTTATAGGGGCTGGGGAGATGGCTCAGTGGTTAAGAGTGCTTGCTTCAAAGTCATGAGGGTCTGAGTTTGGACTCCAGAGCTCACATAACAAGCTGGGAGGCCTTGCAAATGCCTATATCCCCAGCCCCAAGGGAGGCAGAGACAGGAGGATTTCGGGGGCTTGCTACCTTCCACCCTAGCTGAGAAAACAGGAGCCCCAGATTTAAGGAGAAATCTGCCTTAAAGAAAAATATGGAGAATGATAAGAAGAGGACATTCAGTGCCCTCTTCTGGCTTCCGTGTGCATGCGTAGACACTCTTACAGACACAGACACACAGACACACAGACACACAGACACACAGACACACACACACACACACCACCCCTTGTAGATCCCACATAAAGTGGAAACAGAAGAAAATGAGGGGACACTAGAGAACCCCATCAGGGTATCATCTAAATATATAAGGAAAAAGGAAGAGCTTAGGGAAGAACCAGACAAGGGTTTGGCACTCCAGATAAGGGTATAGAAATAGTAATAGTATGAATGAATATGGAAGAAAATGGAAAAATACAGTCAACTGGGATCAGGGAGAGGCTTTAGATGTTGAGAGAGATAAGCTAGGTGTGGTATCTCACACCTGTAATTCCAGAACTTGGGAGGTTGAGGCAGGACAATTGGAGTTTGAGGCCTGCCTAGACTACATGAGACCCTGTGCTCCCTAAAAAATGTTGGAAAGATGAGGCTAGGGTGGACCTTGATTACAGGGTTTTAAAGCACTAGAAGGGAATGATGTAACCAGAAAGGTCCTGAAGCGGGACCACCTCAGTAGGGGTCTGGACCCCCAGTGGCACCCCAGTTTCAGAAGGGCTCTAAGGTCAGCCTATCACCTGGTCTTGGTCATAAGGATTCATATGGACCCAGTGAAGGATGACTGTGATGATGAGGGCAGAGAATAAATCTTGAGAGTGGCAGCACTGGATACCAGCGGGAGAAGAAGATGTCTGGAGTGTCTAGTGAAGGAGCTTTGGATTTGCTCAAGCCATAGATGACACTCTTTTGAAGTCTAGGATTAATTTTTCATTCTTTATAAAAAAAAGGACCACAGGTTGCAGGATACTAAGAGATTAAAGAAAAATTTTATGACCCTGTGGCCTCTTCCCTAGGCTGTATCTCATGATTCTGTTTGTGTACATTTTGGTTTCAGCCCTCTGCATGTGCTGGGGGTAGGTTTATCATATATCAAAACAGACCTGGACCTAGCTGGTATGTGGGCATGGTGGGTTTTCCTACATTAGGCATTGCACCCAGTAGGGAGGGAGGTACCAGGATTCCTGGTCACAGTGAGTGAATTTATGCTTCATTTCTCAGCTGGAGGCAGACCCAAAAGAAGGTTCTTTTATAGAAAAGTAAAACAGTCAGCTAGCTTGATATTTTGGGGCAGGACAGAGAATGGTGTCACTATATAGCCCAAGCTGGCCTTGAACTTGTGATTCTCCTAACTCAGCCTCCCAAGTGTTGGATTATAGGCATGGACCACCCTGTCTACCTAGCCCAGTATTTGGAGAAAGATTTTTCATGGAACTTGCAAAATTTCACATCGTTCCTGTTGAAATAACATGAGCAGGGGAAAATCATTAAATAAAATTATTAAATCCTATAAAGGGGATTTGGCCCAGGGTCTCTTGAAGCTAGAAAAATGAAGAAAAAAGCCAGTCAGCATTCAGATGCTTCTAAGAGACTTAGACAAATTGAAGAAATGGTCTTGAATCACTTTATGGTGGATGTTCATATCTTTACATATTTTGCAAGTGATGTAAATACTCTTGTGAGAATTTTGAGATAGGCATGAACCCAGTAACCCTCTTTAACCATCATGCCAAGAAAAGACTTTCACTAAATTCTATGAACATGAGAAGTCGTATATTGTTGTAACCTCTAATCCTGAGCAGATCATGGTTGTAGCACTGTGTGTGTGTGTGTGTGTGTGTGTGTGTGTTTTTCTTGTTACTCTGTTCTGGAGCTAAACCCTTTCCTTCTGTGTTTGTTCCCAGCATGCCCGACTACTATTCCAGCTGACTTGGTATTCCTCGTTGAGGAGTTTAGCAGGGTTAGGCAATCCAATTTCCAACAAGTGATCAATTTTTTGAAGACCACTGTCCACTTCCTCAATATCCATCCTGATGCTGTGAGAATCGGCTTGGCATTTTACAGTGAGGAACCACGGCTGGAATTTTCCCTGGCTGCGTTTCAGAATGTCACCCAAGTCTTACACCATTTAGACAACTTAAGCTACAGAGGAAGAAGAGGAAGGACGAAGGCAGGTGCTGCTTTGGATTTCCTCAGGAATGAAGTTTTCATTCCAGAGAAGGGCAGCAGGTCCAGGCAAGGAGTGCAGCAGATAGCTGTGGTCATCACAGAAGGGTCCTCTGTAGACAACGTGTCCATTCCTGCTTCTCACCTCCGCAGGGCTGGGGTCACCATCTACACAGTGGGCACCCAGCCTGCCTCAGAGAGTAAGGACTTGGAGAAGATTGCCACATACCCTCCCTGGAAACATGCCATCCGCCTAGAGTCCTTTCTGCAACTCGCTGTTGTGGGGAGCAAGCTTAGAAACCGGCTCTGCCCTGAGAGTGTGGGCAAAATCCATCCTCGGATGGTTTACACCTTACAAAAAGTAAAAGAAGGTAGGAGGGCTTCTCTTTCTCTGTACATGTTCATCCATGTTTGCACATATGTATGTAGGTGCACGTGCCCATACATGTGGAGGTCAGAGGTTAACATCAGGTGTCTTTCTGTATTGTTCTCTGCACTGTTATTATTTTGAGACAGGTCTTTCCATGTATCCCTGGCTGACCTGAAACTTACCATGTAGGTCAGGCTGGCCTTGAACGCATATAGATCCATCTGCCTCTGTCTTCCAAGTACTGGGATTAAAGGTCTGCACCACCATGCCTGACTGTACATTATTTTTTGAGACAGGGTCTTTCACTGAGTCTGGAGCTTACCAATTGGCTTAGGCTGGCTGGGCAGCAAAACCTAGGGATCTATCTGTCTTTGTCCTCCCCACGTCCAGCACTGGGGTTACAGATGGGCACCACCATGCTGGCTTTTACGAGAGTGCAGGGGATTTGAACTCAGGTCCTCATGCTTCTTTGGCAAGCACTCTACTGACTGTACCATTGCCCAAGCCAAGTTGTATTTGCTTTTGATATCTTTCTTTCTCTTCTGCCTTTCTCTCCCTCCCTGTCTCTTTCCTATCAAGAAAAAAAATTAGAGTCAACTCATGAAAAACCAAACGCCTCAAACTTAGAAAAATCTTTCTTTTGTCTTGATTCTAAACAGTGCAGAAGAATATGAGGTTAAAGACTGAACATTAGTGCCTTTGAACTTATACTGTAGTTTGACTAATTACAATCATTGAACACTTAAGTAGCATTACTATAATACTGTATATTGGCCAAAATAATCTGGTCTTTATGCAATAAGCCTCTTTTGTTCAGACTCATAGACACTTCTATCATGGTAAGCATTTTCCTGCCACTGAACAAAGCAGACTGTGGACATAGCATGGTGGGTGTGTCACAAGGGAGAACAGCTGTTCATCTGGTTAGTGGAGGTGGAAGTCAGTTGGAGAACTCCTACTGCATAAACAGTTTAAGAAAACAAATAAAAGGACTGAAGAGATGACTCTGCTCTGCTCTGCCATTAAGAGCTCTTCCTGCTTTTCAGTGGACCAGAGTTTTGTTCCCAGCATGCAGACTGGGCAGCTTACAACTGCCTGTAACTCCAGCTCCAGGGAGTTCAATGTCCCTTTTGTCTCCATGGGTGCCTGAATACACCCACACAGACACATAAACAAAAAAATCCCTCTACTTGGGAGGCACACACAGATGGATCTCTGTGAGTTCGAAGCCAGCCTGGTCTACATAGCAAGTTCCAGGCCAGCTGGGGTGACAGGGAGACCCTGTCTCGAAAAGACCAAAAAATTTTTTATTTATTATTTGCGTATGACTGTGTTGTCTGCATGTGTGTAAGTGTACTCGTGTTGTGCAATGTCCGTGGAGGTCAGAAGAGGGCATCAGGTTCCCTGGAACTGGAGTTAAAGGATGGCTGTTAGCTGCTGTGGGTGCTGGGAATCGAACCTGGGTCTTCTGCAAGAGCAGTCAGTGCTCTTAACTGCTGAGCCATTTCTTCAGCCCCTAATTTTCTTTTTTGAGATAAGGGTCTGCTGGCCTCAGATTCACTATGTAGCTGAAACTGACCTTGAACTCCTGATCCTCCTGCCTTTGCCTCCCAAGTGCTGAGATTACAGGCATGTACTACCGTGTCTGGCTTAAAATATGCAAATTTTAAGTCTTTCTGGCTGTTGAAAAACTATGTCTAATTGTATCCTTGTCACTTTTTGTCTGCCTATGCTAATTTTTCTTAGACTCCTATTAGAATAATGGATTTAAATTCAAATCATTGAAATGTAGATAATTCACTTAAAAATTCAAGGTTGTAATTTTATCTTCAGGTGAAAAATCAGTTTTTTTTTTTTTAAACAAAACAAATAGTAAATGATTTTGTAGTTTCTTGATTACCTGTCCTGAGGACTAGAAATATGAATTATACAAGTAAGTTTCCAGCTTTCTCTTTGATATGCAGTTTTAGTTCCTCTTTCTGGGAGTAAGAAAAATGTAAAAAGATGAATTTCCATGCGCCTTTAGTTCCAGCACTCAAGGCAGAGGATCTCTGTGAGTTGGAGGCCAGCCTGGTCTACATAGTGAGTTCCAGGACAGCTGGGACTACAGAGAGACCCTGTCTCAAAAACCAAACCAAACCAAACCAAACCAAACCAAACCAAACCAAACCAAACCAAACCAAACCAAACCGGGTGGGGCGGGGCGGGGCATGCCTTTCATTTCCTTGTACATGCCTTTCCTGTACCGTGCAGGTGAATGGAGAGAAAAGGAGCCCAGACCGACCCTGGAATCAGGAAAATCAGCCCAAAGTCTAGAGGGTTGTGGATGGGGGAAGCTTAGAGGTGAAGAGAAGCTTTGGTAATTTTACCAGAATTCTGCCCGAATGATCATAATGGTCAGAGTTTTACCAGTTTATTGTTTTTTTGTGACTTTATTGTGTTTATACAACACACACCCACACACTCCTTAAACACTGGGTGTATATGATAGATGTGGATGCTCAGTAGCATTCAGGCTATAAGAACTCTCTTCTCTCTATCCTCTCTTTTCCCTACCTCCCCTATCTCTGTTTGACAAGATTGGTAGGAATTCGAGGTGCCAGGCAGTCTTCAGGGCCCCAGACTCCTTAGGAGCCATGCAAAGAGCCTGAGTGGTGTGGAGCCACTGCTGTGTGGGCTGACTGCAGATGGCCCCTTCCTGCACAGTGATCCTTCTCAGACTCCGGGCCTGTCAGCCCGTTACCAGTGGGTGCTGGGTACCAGCAGGATCCCAGTTTCTGCTCTATTTTTCCACAATTTCCCTTCATTTTCCAGGGAAAATTCAGCTCTCAGCTTCCACAGGGGCAGACTGCTCTTCCTGTAAACCATACTTCTTTCTAATATGTGACACTCTAGCGGTGGGTGGCCTGATGAAATTCAAGGTGCCCAGTGAAATCTGAATTTCGTTTAGATAAATAGTAAGTAATCTTTTAGAATAAAAATGTCCCACATATTGTATGGACTTAGATCTTCCCATGGAAAGGCCTGAGGCAGAAGAGTCCAGCTTCTACCTCAGACAGGAAACATGAAGAGGCTCTTAGCTAGAGACAGACAACATGGGGAGGGTGTTCTCACTGAAAAAGAAGAAAAGTGTGTTTCTTTCCTTTGCTTGCTTCTAGGGTTTTTTTTTTTTTTTTTTTTTTTAAAGTTGAAACAGGGTCTCACTATGTACCCTGACTGGCCTCATGCACAGATCCGCCTGCCTCTGCCTCTGCCTCTGCCTCTGCTTCCTGAGCGCTAAGATTAAAGGCTTGTCTCATTTATTCTTTTTGTGTGTGTAGTGTGTAGTGCTCATGTGTGTGTGTGTGTACAGGTGTACCCATGCGGAGACCAGATCACATAGGGTGTCTTCTTCCACTGCTTGTCACCTTACCTTTTTTTTTGGTCTTTTTGAGACAGGGTCTCCTTGTAGCCCCAGCCGCCCTGGAATTTGCTATGTAGACCAGGCGCTGGCCTTGAATTCACAGAGCTCCACCCGTCTCTGCCTCCCAAGTGCTGGGAATAAAGGCATGTGCCATCACGCAAGGCTGTCACCTTACTTTTTAGCAGGGTCTCTCACTGAATCTGAAGCTCTTTGTTTAGGCTAGACTGACTGGCCAGTAAGCTTACAGATTCTACCTGTCTGCCTCCAACATTGGGGTTATAAGCACACGTGACCATGCCTGGCTTTTATGAGGGTGCTGGGGCTTTAAACTTAGGCTTGCACAGAAAGCACTCTTCTCTGCTGAGCCATCTCCCCAGCCCATTGCATTCTTTCTGTGATATTTGCTGGACTGATGATGGCAAATCACTCCTAGTACTCCGGGCCTTAGGCAGGAAGATCACCAGTTCAAGGTCAGCCTCCACTACATACAGAGACCCTGTTTGAATAAAACAAACAAAATCCAATGAAATAAACAAACAAAACTGCCGATAACGTTGACTCCCCCACCCCCAAATATAATACTTAGCTCTAATTCCTTACAGTAAGCTTTCTGAGTGGGTTTTGTACATGTGGAGAAGGCAGATATTTACTTCTGTATTGATGAGTGGGTGTTAAGATCTTTGCTGGACAGATTAGGATATTCAAGTGCTAAGAGGACATGCCTGCTGCAAATAATCTAAATCTAGAGTCACAGTATCTTTTGGAGCCTAGGTCTTAGTATCAAGTGACTTGAGTAGCTTAAATCTAATTAAATTGTTTCATTAAATGTACTCTTTTGCCCCAGTATTTAAAAAGTACAACTTAGATGGGAGGCAGGATGATGGAAATGGAGACATCTTTAGCTTCAAAGATTCTCTGATATTTTACTTTCAGTTTGTTCTCAACGTCCCTATTTGAGAAATGTCCAGATGTGCTTGCTTTGCGTATTCAGTGGGATGCTCAGAAATGGGCTCTGAGCCTAGCATACCAGTGACTTTTGCGTGGCTGACCTCAGAGGACACTGGTAGGGGGGTAGAAATTTGAGACGGGAACTGTAGAGGATGAGGGGTTAACTACAGGTTTTCCTGTATGACACTTCAAGCCCAGTTATGCTGTGGCCTCAGAGCAGCTGTGTACAACTCACTTCAGAGTTGATCTACCAGAGGGTGAGGGAGCTGGGGTATTTAGCCAGCCTTTGCCAGCTCTTGTCCATAGCTGCCCTGGTCTCTTTTGTAGGTCCTCTGATCTGCCCAGTGTGTAGACTGATGATGCTTCATGCCCAGGGCACGATGGGTGAATGGGGAGTAGGGTGGGGATGGGATCAGTGGCTTTGGCCACACGCTGCCCGAGACCTTGTTCTAATGGGTTGTGGCTACTTTTCATTGGCCAGATTGCGTGCATGTGGAGAAGGCAGATATTTACTTCCTTATCGATGGATCCGGCAGCATCAATCCAAATGACTTCACTGAAATGAAGGTGTTCATGAAGGCGGTGATAAAGATGTTTCACATTGGGCCCGACAGGGTGCAGTTTGGAGTTGTTCAGTACTCAGACAGAATTGTAAGTAAATTTGTCCTCAGCCAGTATTCCAGCATGGCAGAGCTGAGGGCTGCCATCGATGGCATCCAGCAGGGAGGAGGTGGTACCACAACCGGTGAGGCCCTGAGTGAAATGGCCCTGGTCTTTGCCGACACTGCCCGAATCAACGTGGCCTGGTACCTCATAGTCATCACTGACGGCCAGTCTTCAGACCCGGTGGCTGAGGCTGCAGAGCGACTGAGGAGTGATGGAGTCAATATTTATGCCATTGGAGTCAGGGATGCTAACGTAACTGAGCTTAAGGAAATAGCAAACAACAAGATGTTTTTCATATATGAATTTGATTCATTGAAGGCCATCCAACAAGAAGTGGTTCAGGACATCTGCTCCTCAGAGAGTAAGAGTTGTTAAAATTTATCATATATTAATTATACATAATAATTGGGTTTTGTTATGACATTTCATGCATGTATATATTTTGGTGATCTTCTCCCCCTCACCCCTTCCCATGCCTGCTGACCCCCTTTCTTCCCAACCAGCCCTCTTCCTACTTTCATGTTTTTTCCTCCCTTTTTTATCTTTGTTTTGGTTACCCCCCAATGAGTTTCATTAGAGTTGCTTAGAGAAGTGTGGGCACCTTACCAATGGTGCCACCCCTGAAAGAGTAAGAAGTTTCTGTTTCAATCTTTCTTTCACGTGCATGTATTTAATCCTTTGAATGGACTTCATTCTCTAAGTGTGATTCACTGACTGGCGAGTGAGTATTGAACTCAAAGTGACAGTGACCTGGAATAAACCAAGCTGGTCAAATTTTATATCCTTATCCCTTAGCTGGGTCTTATTATTTATTTTATTTTATCTATTATTTTTGTTTTATTTTTATGTATTGCCTGCATTATGCGAGTGCACCCGTGTTGTGCAATGCTGCAGAGGTCAGAAGAGGGCTTTAGATGCCCTTGGAACTGGAGTTAAGGACAGTTCGTAGCCGCCACGTGGGTGCTGGGAATTGAGCCCAGGTCCTCTGCAAGAGCAGTCAGTGTTCTTAACCGCTGAGCCATCTCTCCAGCCCAGCTGGGTCTTATTTTAAGACCAGTTTGTGCTGAGTTTCAGAATGTTTACTTTATTGACTGCCTCTTTGTTCCCTTTAAAAATATTTTCATGTTGCATGTTTGCTACCCCAGACTGTCTCTGGGGGCTTGTAGTTCATGGGCTCCAGATTGATGGAATGTTCCATTCTGCTCTTCCCTCCCCAAGCCTGTAAGAGCAGGAAAGCTGACATCATCTTCCTGATTGATGGTTCAGAATCCATCTCCCCTAAAGACTTTGAAAAGACAAAGGAATTTGTGGAGAGAATGGTGAACCAATCTAATATTGGCACTGATGAAATTCAGATTGGCCTTCTGCAGTTCAGCTCCTCTCCCCAGGAAGAATTCAAGCTCAACCAATACTCTTCAAAGGTGGACATGCGCAGAGCCATCTTGAATGTTCAACAAATGAACAATGGTACCCGCACTGGGAAAGCCTTGAATTTTACTCTGCCTTTTTTTGACAGTTCAAAGGGAGGGAGACCCAGTGTCCATCAATATTTGATTGTGATCACCGATGGAGTCTCCCAGGATAATGTAGCCACCCCAGCCAAAGCCCTCAGGGACAGAAACATAATTATTTTCGCCATTGGGGTGGGAGAGGCCCAAAGAACTCAGCTCTTGGAGATTACTAATGACCAGGACAGAGTATACCATGAAGAAAACTTTGAGTCCCTGCAGAACCTGGAAAAGAAAATTCTTTATGAAGTTTGTAGTCCTCAAGGTGAGTGACAGAGAAGTTATTTGCTCTGCAAACTATCATAGATATCAGGGACCCTGCTGGCTCTCCTAATAATATAAAACTCTGATCCTTCTAGCTGGGCAGGAAGCGGATGGGAAAATTATTCTGTAGGGTCTGAGCTCTTGATGTTGTGGTTCACATTTCCCTGGGAATTCCTTTAATTATTCCATGGCTGTCACCACTCTGGCCTCTTGAGACTTGAACCTTCTCAGAACTGTCACCATAATTCCTTACCATCCTTCCTTGTAGCAAAGACAAAACCAGATGGGAATGTGTATGCATGACTTATTGAAGATTTGTGAATAGCAGCGGGGAACCAAGGGCAGAGAGCCTTATCACGGTCTCTCTTACGACATAAAGCACATCGTCTTTCCTATGAGGTCCTTGTACAGAGGCTTCTCCGCTTTGTTGCCATTATGTTTCCACATAGCCAAGGTCGTCTGTAATTCTTTCCGTCTACTGGTCTGTGGTGTAAAACTATTCCTGGGGCAACGTGAACAAATGTCTACTCACCCCAGATAGGGAAGCAAGGACAGACCAAACAAAGAAAGGATATCACCAAAATTCAACTTGGTGAATCAAGGAGCTTTACTGAGGTTACTTATAGTAGCAGAAATAACTCAAAGACAGCAGCATCATCAAAGCCCACCCCAGCATGGATGACAGCTCATGAAAGCAGGAAGTCGGGAGCTCACTGTTCAACATGTAGGCAGCTCAGCGGTTTGGAGAGTGTCCTTTCCAGGTGGCTCCATCAGTCCAACCCTTTTCCAGTTCAGCTGGTCTCTGCTTCATCCAGTGTTCTCGGCTGGTCTGAGAGCATCTCTTAGCAGGGCTTAGGGCTGCTTATATATGCTTGGCCTAGTGAACCTGGTAATTTCAGGGATTTCCTAAAGCTATTGGGTTGTTCACTTCCTAAGCTTAAGGAGCTTCTCTGCAGGATGGAATGTTTCACTTTCCCTCAAAACATCCCGTGGTTTCCCTCCCTTTAGAGGATCCAGTTGTTTATCTTCCTTTAGAATATCCTGTTGTTTACTCAGCTTCCTGCCAAGATGCCAAGATAGAAGCTTTTATCTTGGAGGAAATTGTTATACAGCACCATCCTTAATTGAAGCATGATGAAGTACAGTGCAGTATACAGTGGAACGGTACAGCATGGATTCTATTATATAATCCAGCATGGCATGGAATCATAGAGAAGATGGTATGATGGAACCATAGCTCCCATATTACTACAAAAGGAGTCATGTATATAGGAGATGATTCCATTATTTTACACATATGTTTAATTGACTTATTCATTTACTTTTTAAGATAGGGTCTCACACAATAGCTCAGGTGGGCCTGGAATTCATGACACACCTCTGCCTCAACCTTATGGGTTCTGAGGTGACAGGCATGTGCCACCATGTCTGGCATTTAATTAAATTTATACATTTTATTTATTTTTTGATGAGTATTTTGCCTGCATGTGGGTAAGTGTACCTGTGTTTTCAATGCCCACAGAAGCTAGAAGAGGGTGTCAGATCCTCTGGAATTGGAGTTATAGAGGGTTTTTAGCCACCATGTAGGTGCTGGGAGCCAAATCTGGGTCCTCTAGAAGAGCAGCCAGTGCTCTTAACCACTGAGCCATCTCTCTAGCCCCTTAATTGGATTTATAATTTTTTTTTGGTCTTTTTGAGACAGGGTCTCTCTGTAGCCCCAGCTGGCCTGGAACTTGCTATGTAGACCAGGCTGGCCTTGAACTCAGAGATCTGCCTGCCTCTGTCTCCCAAGTGCTGGAATTAAAGGCATGCGTCATCATGCCAGGCCGGATTTACAATTTTTTAAGTAAATACTTGTATGCTGAAAGGAAGGAATCAGGGAGAAGCTTGTCCCTTCCTTAGTTATGTGCCTCTTGAAAAGGACTGTGACCTTCTACCTTACCAGGAGGCAGAGCATGAACTTTTGACGTTTACAAAGTGCTTTGTCACTTTCTGTCTCACTGGACTCCTCTGAGACTGAGAGAGCAAGCACTACTTACAAAAATCCAGGGCAGGAGCATTGGCTCAGTGGTTAAGAGTATGTGTATTGTTTTTGCAAAGGACCAGAGTTTGGTTCCCAACACTCATGTCAAGCTGCTCACAACTGCCTGCAACTCTGGCTCCAGCAGATACAACACCCTCTTGTGGCCTCCAACAGCACCTGCACTCACATGTACATACCCACACACCGGCACACACTTACATGTAATTAAAAGAAAAATAAAATCTTAAGAAAATCCTCTCATCAGGATATTTTTGCCCATTCATAGCTGAAAACCCACTGAAGCAATGACACGCAGTTTCCAGTTGGGCACAATCAAGATTCTTTTTTGGCTTTTTTCTTCCATGCGTAGCACCACTATAATGAATTAGATGGCGTATGTTCATCTAACAGTCACATGACTCCATGTGAAGCAGATCCCATTTATTATGATACCCAATTTTTAGATGAGAAAAACAGGGCTGAGAGTGGTTAAGAAACACAAATAGGAGACAGCAGAGGCAGGGTTTGACTTGCCCAACCGTCTGGCCTCAAAAAGCCCACACACTGAACTTAGGGTGTGGTGGTATACAATGGTAATCCTAGCACTTGGAGGTAGAAGCATGAGGTCAACCTGAGCTCAAGGTCATCTTGGTTCTAGGTCATCCTCAGCTACAGAGAGTTCAAAGACAGCCTTGGCTACATGTGACCCAGTCTCAATACAAACAAGGAACTGGGGAGTTGGCTCAGTCAGTAAAGTGTCTGCTGCACAAGTATGAGTATCTGAGTTTGGCTATCCAGCACCTACTCAAAAACAAAGCACCTGGTGTGGTGGCGCACACCTTTAATGCCAGCACTTGCAAGGCAGAGGCAGGTAGATCTCTGTGAGACTGAGGCCAGTTATGGCCTACATAGCAAGTTCCAGGCCAGCTGGGGCTACTGGGAGACCGTGTCTTAAAACAATAAACAAACAAACAAACAAACAAACAGTGTGGGAGCACACGCCTATAATCCTGGTGCTGGGGAGACAGACAGGAAGATCCTTGGGGCTTGTTGGTCAGTCAATCTAGCTGAATCAGTGGGCTCCAGGCCCATTGAGAGACCTTGCTTCAAAAATTAAGGTGGTCAGCTGCTTGAGGAAGACACCTGATGTAGGCCTCCATACACAAGAGCACACCTGTACACATATACATGAATAAGTACACAACCGCTCACATATAACCCTTCCCCCCAAGGAACAAATATAAACAACAAAAGCTGATGTGCTAATCATTATGTATGCATACAGAGCCTTTTCAAGAGAAACTGGGGTCTAACTTGGGTTGGGCTTTAGTTTGGAAGACTCCGTTGAGCTCCCTGCATTCTTTCAAAACTTTAGAGACTGATTTTGTGGAACATTAAATTAATGCCTTTGCTTATACTGCTTAAAGATGGCCATTGCTTTGTAGTAGCCACATGAATTTGGAGATGGTTTGAAAAGAATGAATGTGTACAGTTATTCTAAAAATTGAGGCCGGGGAGCTGGAGAGATGATGGCTCAGTGGTTAAGAGCACTGGCTGCTCTTCCAGAGGACTTGGGTTTGATTCCCAGCCCCCACATGGCTGCTAACAACCATCTGTAACTCCATTTTCAGGGCACTCTTTGGGCATTGCACGCACTTGATGCACTTACATACATGCAGGCAATACACTCATACATGTAAAATGAAAATAATAAATACAATATTTAAAAAAATCGAGGTTGAGGGGTAGTTCTGTGGTAGAACACATCTGCCTAGCATGCGTGAGACTTTGGATTTGATCCTCAGACCACACAAAACAAAACAAGCAAGGATTGTGGGATGTCCTGCATTAAATGTGATAGGTAGAGAATGGGCGGGAGTGAGCGGCACGGATGGAGAGCACGAGCGGATGGTTGAAGGCACCGATGCACAGATGGAATTCTCAGTGGGACACAGATTTATTTCGCACGGGGCACCTTTCCCTCGGGAAGGGAAAGATGTCCACGAAGGGAAAGATGGAAGGGAAGGGAAGGGAAGGGAGAAGGGGGAAGGGCGAAGGGGAAAGGGGGAAGGGGGAAGGGAGTCAGGGAAAGATGTCCAGGAAAGATGTCCACGGGTTGTGAGCTGGGACTTTACATATGGGGGCTTTAGGGTGTGGAATCAGGGAGGGGGAAGCAGGTAGGATTAGGGTGTGGAATCAGGGAGGGGGAAGCAGGTAGGATTAGGGTGTGGAAGTGTCTTCTTTTCCTCTTAAGAGGAACTCTGCTTATCTTTGGAGGTCAGAGGAAAGGCAGGCTGCTTCTCAGCAGAGTTTGTAGGTCCCTGTTGGGGAGGGAGCGGGGAGCTGCTATTTGGAACCCTAACAAAATGGTTCAAATTCTTTAGGCATCAAAGTCCTGCCTCTTCTTTCTATGCAGGTGAGCAGTATTCTGGAGGGAAGAGACAGAATCCCAGCTTCTCTTCTCAGTTCATTTTGCACTGGGTAGTAGATTAGGAGTGATGCTTATTTTCAGCTTTGTCTTTAACTTGTTTTTTTTTGGGATGAAATTGGCTAGACATGTTAATAATGGCTGCCGCCTAATTAATTACCGAATTCTAGAATCATAAAACTGAAAAAGACCTTAGAGACTGCCTGCCAAGATTCAACCATCTCCATTAATAGGGAAGAAAATTGTTCCTTGCATTTGTCAATTCCTGAAGAAAACCAGCTCAAAATGTTCTAGGGAAAATGTAAGTTAGAAATGCTGCAATAATACACCGCATTGACAGAAAGAAGCTCCCCTTTTATGAAACCGGGTCTAATGGGATTTACATCTGTGAAAACTCCTTTTCATGAATTTGAACTAGATGTAGAAAACAAAACAAAATCAAGTTGTTTTATATGAAAATGGGGAAAACCCACATTTTCTGTCTCATCAACTTCAGGAACCATCTGGTCAGCTAGTATGGACTGTGATCTTTCAGTGGGCTAAAAATTCTTGGCCCAGTCCTGGATCTCAGATCTTTGGGAAAATTTTCACTGGTGAAGGGTCAACTCCACATTTATTCCTCCCTAAATTGTATCCCCCAATCTGCAGTTTTATTTTTTACTAGTTCTAAGTCAACTATTCCAATCTGTAAAGATCTTTAAAAACCACTTTTATTTATTGTGTGTGTGCAAAAACATCAGGGTGTGTATGTGGAGGTCAGAGGACAAGTCCCAGCAATCTGTTCTCTCCTTCCACCATATGGGTCTGGTGGATTGAATTTAGATCTTTGGGCTTGGCAGCAAGCATTACCCATTGAGCCATTTTGCTGTTCCCCAAGAAGAGCAAATGCCCCCAGCTTGCCTTGGATAGTCGTAAATTATGTGTCTCCCTGCTGAAGTAATTAGCAGTACTAGCCTCTTTATGTTTGCTGGTTGCTAAGTTCTTGATCTGGATTCTAAACTAGTTTTATCTGTGAGCATGAATTTTGTGTCATCAGTTAAATTTTATGAATGATTTTGGTATATACTTTTAAATGTGTGTTGAAGCACCAGTGTGCCTTCAAATTGTAGATTAAGCATCTTCAGGGAGGCTTAAAAATTTCAGGAAGAAGAAATAGAAAACTGAGGGTGCCCTTCAGTTCTGATCTTTTCTAACATGCTCCCAAACCCTTAAAACAAGGCTTATGTGTGATAAATGAGGAAAAAGACTCTCAGGGCTGAATGAGTTACAGATCTTGCTGAAGGAGACTCAAGATTTCTTCCTATTTCCCTGTTTACTCATTTGTTGGACATCTAATGAGCATCTGTGCTAGATAATGGGAGAATAAGATTGTATCTACCCTTAAATCCTTGTTTAGTAGGGGAAAAGGTCAAATAAAATCACCATGAACACACAGGGATGTTTAAGTACTTAATCTGAGGAGGTACAGATAGAATCACAGAGTGCTTGGGAGGAGGGTAAGGCAGGCATTTGAACTATTGTCAGGACTTGTATAAGTCAACTAACCAGATGGGAAAAGACACTCCATCCAGGCAGAGGGACCAGGATCTGCAGAGACAAAGGCATGAACAGCATAGCATATGTTGTGTCAGTAAGCTTTTACCACATAACAAACAACTCCTATAGTTATCAAGCTTATACTTTTGTGGGCTTCCTGGGGGTTCTTTCTAGCTTAGTTATCTTCTGAAGCTGCAGATGACTCCATTTTCTTTTCCATCTTCAAAGGATGTGACGTGGATCTGTCTATAGGGATTGATATCTCAAGTTCTTCAGAGCACGTTCAGCAGAAACATCAGAGGTTCCTGCCGGAGTTGATGCAACAGTTGACCTTACTTTCTAATATCAGCTGTGACACTCCTGGTCAGATCGACCCCAGGTTCCGTTACTTGGTTCCTGGTTTGAGTGGCCAGCTTATCTTTGACTCAGGCTTTGAGAGCTACAGTGATGAGACCATTCAGAAGTTCTTGGTTCATCAGGATTCCAAAAGCAACCGTATGGATGAAGACTTTCTGCAGTCCCTGGGGGAGACTGCCACCCACCAGTCTTTTGCTAAAGTGAAGGTAATCACATGCTGAGAACTTATCCTGTAGAGCTCCTGGCAGGGTAGGATGGAAAGGCTTTTGTAACTGAAGCCAGCAGAGCCAACAAGAGGTGTGATTTGCTCAACCAACATGTCTCTTTTAAAAAAAAAAAAGTTTTTTGGCTGGGCGTAGTGGTGCTCATCTTTGGTCCCAGCACTCGGGAGGCAGAGGCAGGTGGATCTCTGTGAGTTCAAGGCCAGCTTGGTCTACATAGTGAGTTCCAGGACAGCTGGGGCTAAAGGGAGACCCTGTCTCAGAAAGACAAAAAAAAATTGTTTTTATTTTATGTGTGGGAGTGTATTGCCTGCATGGATGTAAATGTACCCATGTTGTACAATGCCTGAAGAGGTGAGAAGAGGGCTTTGGATCCCCTGGGACTGGAGTTATGGACAGTTGTTAGCCACCATGTTGGTGCTGGGAACTGAACCTGGGTTCTCTACAAGAGCAGTCAGTGCTCTCTTAACTGCTGAGCCATCTCTCCAGCTCCCCAACATGTCTTTGTTAAGCCCCCAAGGCTCCGTGCTGAACAGTCCTAGAAGTATGACAGAATAAAAGCCTCTGTGCTTCAACTTCTTACTACCTGGTGATCCAGATTCTTCCATGGCAGAGTTCATTCCTAAGACAACTCAGAAGAGGCTTTAGGATGCCTTAGTTTCTTATGGTCATTCACTGTTATTCAGAGTTGGCCTACAGTTTTTCTAATCAGCAGCCTGAGCTAGTGCAAACCACCCTGAAGACCTCTCCTCCCTTCCTGATGCCCCTGAACTAGTTTCCCAGAGGTAACTTACATTTTGATTTTCCTCCCTTCACACATCCAGCATTAATGCCCCACCCTCTCTCCCCTTTCAATGATACTTTGGTGTTTATGCATTGATAAAGATGGGTAAGACAATTTTTGGACAGTATTTTTAAGTGAACAACAGTTTTAGCTAGTTCAATCCCCCCCCCAGAGGGAAAAGGGGGAGGTTGAAATGAAAATGAATCTATAATTAACACATGAATATATAAAAAGGAACAAAGAAAAAAACTGGCCTCAGTAAAAAAAATCCCTAGTAATTTCAAGAAATGTGCACCTTACAGCAACTATTTTCCGCATTCTTTTTTCCTTTCCCTCCTGTACGTCCCCCACCCCCCCATGAACAACAGGTCCTTTTAGTGTTTACGGATGGACTGGATGATGACATGCAGAGGCTGAGAAGAGCCTCCAAGCAGCTCCGCAGCAGAGGTAAGTGTGCAGGCGCCTGTGTGGGCTGGTTCCTCCAGCGGATCCTCTCCTGGTCTCCAGTTGGAGCTAGCTTCCAGGAAGCCTCCCGCAAGCTTGCCCAGGTGGGTGGAGCTCAATTCCAGGAGGCCGAGGCCTGGTGCTTTGTGAGTCAGGGTGTGTTTGATAGGGGGAGCCCCATCTCCCATGCTCAACCTCCCTCACACCAGAATGTCCCTGACTGACACAGAACTGGCATGTGCTTTTGAGAGTGGGGTTGGAGGGCTTGATACTTCAGTAGTGTTGTTTGCTATTTTAGGATACTTGGAAGTCTCTGTGTGTCTTTTTCTTTTCTCTTTATTTTTATTTTATGTGTATGAGTTGTATTGCCTGCATGTATGTAAGTACACCCCTGTCGTGCAGTGCCCCTGGAGGTCAGAAGGAGGCATAGGATGCACTGGAACAGGAATTATAGATGGTTGTTAGCTGCCATGTGGGTGCTGGGAATTGAACTCAGGTCCTCTGCAGGAGCAGTCAGTGGTCTTAATTGCTGAGCCATCTCTCTAGCCCCATGTGTGTCTTTTCCTTAAACTCTGGTGTCAGGAGAAAGCTGGGTCTGGCTCTTTGCCCTTCTGTTCCCGCCAATCTTTCCTATTTCTTCCCCCTCCTTAGGAGCTAAGCACTACTCAAGGGGGCCCAACTGTGCAGCGAGAAGCTGCCCAGTGTGCAGGGTATGCTGCCTGTGCTGGGCTGCTGGCTGGGTTTCAGCGCGGGCATGCTCCTCACCTGGCTGTACTTCTGCGGGACAGTTGTTCATCTGCATGCAGTGGCTTTGGCTGTTCTCATTTGGTGTCACGTAAAAGGCTTAAAGCAAACCTAGGCTGGCTATCCAGCCACTCTGACTTGTTCAAGCTCTCTTGATGCAGGATAGGGAAAATTTGGGGACATGAGAAGAGAGGGAGAAAGAATTGAGCAAGAATTCCAGCACATTGAACAACTGCTTAAGGCCTTTCTCCCTTCCCAGCTGTAAACCTGTGGTTTTTTTAGGCATCTCATCAGAAGCCCCATTTACAGAAACAGACATGTTGCTCACCCCCCCCCCCCCCACAACCCTAGTGGCTCCTGGCTTTACTATCAGATTATAGTTCCTCCAGGGCATCTCTGGAGCCATTTCACTTAGCTCACCAAATGAGAAAGAAAAAATTCCTAGCAACCTTTTGAGATGTAACTTGCTAGCGACCTAATTGCTTGCCCTCTCTTGGAGAAGGCAGTAGCCACACCTGGGTCCGTTTCGCTTTCTGCTGCTCTTTCTTTGAGGAGCCCACACCAGCTCTTGGGTGTGCCTTTCTTCTGAGTACCTTTCTCTTAACCCTCATGCTTACTCCTCTTTTAAAACATCTTTAATAAAGTCTCCAGCTTTGTTTCAGAAACGGGCTAGTCCTTAGTTGTGCCAAAGCCAAGAACCCTGGTTTGTCTTGAATTGAGGCTCCTAAAAGTTTGGAGGAATTCCCCAGGCTGCTGAGGGTGTGGTATGGATCTGTGCCTCTGTCTGCTCACAGATGCCACTTTCACCCTTCTTTGGTAGAGTGTGTTCATTATATTCTGTTGGGGATGATTCTGCCATTTATTAATGATGTGATGAAAAATTTTTTGATTTATTTTATGTGTATGAGTGTTTTGCCTGCATGTGTGTAAGTGCACCAGTGTGCAGTGCCATGGAGACCAGAAGAGGGTGTCAGAACCCCTGGAACTGGAATTATGGATGGTTGTTTGCTATTCTATGGGTGCTGGGAACTGAACCTGGGTCCTCTGCAAGAGTAGCCAGCGCTTTTAACCATTGACCCTTCTATCCAGCCTGAATTTTTGTTTTAAATGACAACTTTCAGGGCTGGAGAGATGACTCAGTGGTTAAGGGCAGTGGTTGCTCTTGCAGTGGACTCGGGTTTGGTTCCCAGCACCCACATGACTGCTGACAACCGTCTATAACTCTAGTTCCAGGGGATCTGGCACCCCCTTCTGACCTCCGCAAGTATTGCACTATATTAATAGGCATGCAGGCATTCATACAGTCATACACATAAAATAAAAAAATAATAAATAAAATATTAAAAAATGACAACTTGTTCCCAGATGAATGCACATCATTCATTGCCCCTAGAAGTTTAAATTATTGCAACATTTTTCTGGAAGAAATATGGGATTATGTGACAAGAATCTGTAAACTTTGCACGCATGGTAATTCAGCAATTCCATTGCCAAGGACTTATTTTTAAAAAGGAATTGTGAATATGCACAGAAATTTTAACAACAAGAAGGTTGTTCTGTAGCAAAAAGCCAACGGTGCATGTGCTAAGAATTTATTGATCAAAATATTAACAGTGATATTTGTCTTGACATCTGGCAGCATGGTGATTTCTGGTTGAGTTTCCCAGCGCCTGGGTCCCTTGGTCTTTGTTGTGTGGACAGACCTGGGTGATCTTTAGTACCTGTATCGTTGGTTAGGCTAGGTTCTACCTAACTCTCAGACAACCTCTAAATCTCAGTGGCTTAAAGTGATCAGAATGTATTCATTTTATGCCTCCTGCTCACCATTCAAGCTCCCTGGAGCTTGTGTAATTGCTGTGGCAAGGGACAGGAGACAGGACGAAACTATGCACTTTTTTTTTCTTTTCTTTTTTTAAGAAAAATAATTTATTGAGAATTTCACACATGCATATAAGATGTTTCGATCAAATCCATGCCCATTCCCTCCCTCCAACTCCTCCCATACCTCCCCACTGTTTTTAAAATTTGTTTTTGGAGTGACACTTGTCTCTTCGGCTCACATTTCATTGGCCAGAAAGAATCGTATTATCACTTCTAACTAAAATCCTTTATTTTTTAAAATTTATGTATTTATTTATGTATTTATTTATTTTTTGGTCTTTTTGAGACATGGTCTTCCTGTAGCCCCGGCTATCCTGGAACTCACTATGTAGACCAGGCTGGCCTTGAACTCACAGAGATCCTCCTGCCTCTGTCTCCCGAGTGCTGGGATTAAAGGTGTGCGCCACCACGCCTGGCTAAAATCCTTTATTTTTAATTTTTATTTTATTTTATGTATATGAGTGTATTGCCTGCATGTATGTGAGTGCACCCATGTCGTGCAGTGCTGCAGAGGTCAGAAGAGGGCTTTGGATTTCCCTGGAACTGGAGTTAAGGACTGTTTGTAGCTGCCATGTGGGTGCTGGGAATCAAATCTGGGTCCTCTGCAAGAGCAGTCAGTACTCTTAACTGCTGAGCCGTCTCTCCAGCCCCTAACTAAAATCCTTTTACAGGTAAGGAATTGAGGCTTACTGGAAGTTTGTAACTTTCCCTAAGAAGTGCAATCTTATCATGTACTTTAAAGGAGGGGACTAGAATATTCACAAATAGTCACAATAATTATCATAATTTACCCCCTTTCTCCCTCTCTCCCTTCCTTACCAGGGCCTTGGGCATATTTGGCAAGTGCTATGTCATTGAGCTACATCCCCATCCCTTGACATAATTTATTGTATTTATTATTTTTAAACTTTTATTTATTGAATGTGTGCACATGTATGTCTGCATGCATACCACAGCATACCTGTGAGGATCAGAGGATAACTTGAGAGAGGTAGTTCTCTCCTTCTAGGTTTTGGGGATTGAACTCAGGTCATCAGATTTGGAGGCAACCATCTTTACCTGCTGAGCCATCTTCTCTGCCCTTTCTTTTTTGATTTAACAATATTAAAAAAAAACCCATTTATTTAGCTGGGCATGGTGGCACATGCCTTTAGTCCTAGCACTCAGAAGGCAGAGGCAGATAGATCTCTGTGAGTTCAAGGCCAGCCTGGTCTACCTAGTGAGTGCCAGGCCAGCTGGGGCTACAGGGAGACCTTGTCTCAAAAAGACCGAAAGAACAAAAACAAAAAACAAAACAAAATTTATTTATCTATGTATTTTTTTGTATATATGTATGTATGTATCATGAACCATGATGTTCATGTGGAGTTCAGAGGACAGTGTGTGGCAGTTGGTTCCGTTCTTTCTTATCATGTGGGTCTGGGGGCTTGAACTCAGGTTGTTAGGGCTTTACTCACTGATCCGTCTCGCCAGCCTTTTGATATGGTTTCTAAGAGTAAACCAAAAGTCAACTTCAGGGATAGTTTAGAAGGATGTAAAGATGCTCATTGACAGTTTGAGGCCAGCCTGGACTATTTTTGTGAGTGCCAGGCCAGCCAGGGATACATAGGTAGAGTCTGTCTGAAAAAGCCAAAGAACGAAAAACCAAACCAACAGCACCACCAACCAACAGGAAGCGTACCATGAGCTAGTTTTATTTTCTTTTACTTTTTTTTTTCTTTTTTGAGTCAGAGTTGCACTATGTATCTCGTCTGTTAGAACCCACTTTTCACCCAAGCTGGTCTTGAACTCTTGATCCTCCTACCTCCAGCCTCATAAATTCTGGGATTGCAGGTGTAAGCCACTGAGCCTGGCTCATGTACTAGTTTTGATCCTAAGAAAGTTGCAATTTGAGATGAGACAGATTCCGGAAATGGAATAGTGGAATGATAGATACCTGTCTGGGGCTGAGACAGACTGTTCAAAAGACAGGCAAGTAAACTTTCTACCTGCTGGTGTTCTGAAGGATTCTCCGCACTCCTGGTCATTGGTCTGGAAGGCGTGCATAATCTGGAAGAGCTCCAGGAACTAGAGTTTGGCAGAGGATTTGCATATCGGCAACCTCTGAGCATCAGCCTGCCGTCCCTCCCCAGCATCTTGCTGAAGCAACTTGTAAGTCCTTTTATAAAGCACTATTCTTCACCTGATCCTAATAAGCATAATAACTTTTAAAACTTGGAGGGAATTTTGTCTGTTTAGCGTATAATGTGATCTAGGAGAACACAGATGGAAAACCTGTATGTAATATGGATTCTGTTTTTCAGGACACAGTTGTAGAGAGGACATGTTGCGGTGTGTATGCCAAGTGTTACGGAGAGGATGGGCAGAGAGGTGCTCCTGGGAGTCATGGGAGGGAGGTAAGAATTTGCTGGGTGTGGATAGGAGGAAGGAGAGAGATGATACTTCAGTACCCAGTACACCCCAGGCACCCACCTTATGTATTAACAACCCTTTACAAACACAGCAAACCTTCAAAGTCACTGTTATTTTGCAATGTGTGAAGCTGAGGTTCTGAGAGTAGATGTTATATTCCTAAAACTATGTAGTTGTGAAAAGGCATTTGAGGGACTGGAGAGGTGGCTCAGCAGTTAAGAGCCCTGGCTGCTCTTGCAGAGGACTGGGGTTCATTTCCCAGCACCCACATGGTGGCTAACAACCACCTGTAACTCCAGTTCCAGGGGATCCGACACCCTCTTCTGTCCTCCACGGGCATTGCACAACATGGACGCACTTACATATGTGTATGCAATGCACTCATACACATAAAAAATAAAAATAATAAATAAAAAAATTGAAAAAAGAAAAGGCATTTGAGAACGGAACCTCTGTGTTTGCTTGATTCCACCATATTCTGCCCTTTAATATAATGCCTCCCTCATATGCTTATTTAGTTTTTACTTTAAAATTATTTAAATAATTTTGTATTATTTTGTATTTTTTATTACATTTATGTATGTATGTACGTATGTATGTATGTGTGTGTGTGTACTTCCACAGTGTGCATGTGGAGGTCAGAGGACAACCTTCAAGTGCTGGGTCTCTCCTTCTACCATGTGGGTCCCAGAGATCAAACTCTGGTCATCAGTCTTGATGCAAGTATCTTTAACCTCTGAGCCATCTTGTTGGCCCAGTTGTTTTAAATGTTTTATTTCTGTGCGTGTTTGTACTTGTGTGGGCAGGGCAGGATGTATAGAGGCCTGGGGTCTACATTGGATGTCTTTTCTGACAGTTCTCCACTTGAAATTTTGAGACAGGTTTTCTCACTGACCCTGGAGTTTACACATTTGACTAGGCTGGCCAGTTGGCCAGAAAGCCCCACCTGTCTCTACCTCCCCAGTACAGAGATGATAACAACAAGTTTTTTTTTTTAATGTATTTTTGAGACAGTGTCTCCTTGTAGCCCCACCTGGCCTGGAACTTGCTATGTAGAACAGGCTAGCCTTGAACTCACAGAGATCCTCCTGCCTTTGCCTCCTGAGTGCTGATGTTAAAGGCGTGCACCACCACGCCTGGCTACACACCCAGATTTTTACATGGGTGCTGAGGATCAAACTCATGTCCTGATGCTTGTGCAGCAAGTCCCTCATTATGTTTACTTGACAAATCAGGTCACAAAAAGCTCTGCTCAGAAGTTTTCAGTTACCAAGTTTTCACTTGTCCAGCACCTTCCTTCTTTGCTGTAGCAAATGCCTCTTTCCCTCGTGTCTCACATTCTTTTCACAGCATTAAATGTTGAGAAAAGATACAACCATTGTTCTCATGGAGCCATTAATTTTTACCTTTGTAAAAGGTAAAAGGTGACTTAACTGACAGGAAAATTAGTGCTCAACTTTTTCAAGGGAGACTGTGTCATAAATGTTGCTCAAGTATCAGGGCTGGCAAGGTTCCCTCCTCACAGGAACTCCAATTCTATGACAGGTGCATAGCTTGAAATCTAAGTGTAAGGTTGAGCCAAACCCATTGGTTTTGTTCTCTATGGAAATTTTTCCATGACGTTGTTGGAGAGAGGTGTTTTTTTTTGACATGGTCTTATGTAGCCCAGGCTGTCCCAGAACTATCTAGGTAACTGAGGATGATGTGGAGCTGAAGATGACCTCCTGCTTTTGCCTTCCCCATGTTAGGGTTACAGATGTGTGTCACTGTACTTGGCTGGAACAAATTATTATTTTTTTAATGTATTTAAAATTATTTGTATGCATGTATGTCTGTGTGTTGGTATATGCACATAAGTGGGTGTCTGCAGAGTGGAGAAGATCCCTAGAGCTGGAGTTACAGGTGGTTGTGAGCCTCCTGACATGGGCACTGGGAACTAAACTCAGGTCCTTGTCAAGATCAGTACATGCTGGTAACCACTGAGCCACCCCCTGAAATGAATTCTTAAGGGCTTTGCAGATGAAGCTTATTAATTTAAAATAGTATAAAATATACACTGACTTTTTTTTGTATTTTGATATAGGGTCTCATGAAGTTCTGGCTTTGAATTTCTTATGTAGCTGAAGATGATTTTAATTTTTGGATCCTTCTGCCTCTACCTCCCACGTGGTGGGATTAGAACCATGCCTCACCATGCTTGGTTTAAACCAGCAGCGAAGCTGGGGACTAAACCCAGGGCTCTGTGCATGCTAGGCAAGCACTCTACCAATTGAGCTACATTCTCAGTCCTTCAATGACTTTTGAAAAAAATTGTAATTTCGTATTAGCAGTAGGTTTTTCTCTCATGTTCTTTAATATTAGACCTGAGAATGAAAAAATCAAGTTTGGGAACTTCTTAATGGGGCGCTTAGCACCTCAGTGATAACTCCTTAAAGGCCAGTGATGGGAGGCTCAGGAAAATTTGACTTCTCTGCTGTTTGTTAAAATTTAGAGGTTGGTTGTATTGAATTTTACAAATAAAATATGTCTCACTACCCAGTGCTTGTGGCGTAGAGATAAGTAGAGCTCTGGGAGCTTGAGGCTAGCCTGGTCTACAGTGTGACTCTGTTTCAAAAAACAAAACAAACAAACAAAAGAAGTTTCATTGATCTCTTTGGTGAGTTTTAGACTCAATAAACAAATCTACCCATCAAATGGCAAGCCAATATTCCTTAGACTGATACAGTTCATAAGCTTAGAAATAAAAACAATAGATGGAACAGTTGAGTCATAGAAATAAGCCCTTTCTCATGAGTGATATGGGAGGTAAGACCTTTGCTTACAGATCTTTTCTAAAGCAAGGTCAATTACCTATTTGAGAATAATTCTTTTCCTTAATCTTTGAACTAGGAAACTCACTTTGGTTTGAATTTTCATGATAAAATAGCTTAAAAAATATTTTGGAAGCTGGGCTTGATGGTGAACACCTTTAATCCTAGCACGTGAGAGGCAGAGGCAGACGGTCTTTGTGAGACTGAGGTCAGCCTGATCTACATAGCTGAGATTACAGGGAGACCCTGTCTCAAATCATCCCCTGCCCCCAAATTTGGAAAGATAGCAATAATTTGATGAACCAAACAAGTATTCGCGTTTTCCCTGTAACACGGACCAAGAATATTTATTTCTGCATGCCTTCTCTAATAGCTAATGGAGTCTCAATAAATTGTTGGCTCAGTGAGATGAGACTATCCAATAGAAGTGACTTAAATATATTTTGTATAGATTTGAGAAATGAGGAATCCAGAGTCTAAGTTAATTGTTTAAATTTCTTGTCTTCTCAGGGAGAGAGGGGTTTGGATGGGTTACCTGGCCATCCCGGTGAAGAAGGTGAATACGTGAGTACCGACTTCTTTTCCTCTGTCTCCCTCCCTTCCCCACCCCTCTCCTAGCTCTTCACCTTCAGCTAAATCGAGGTGACTTGCTGCTATTGTCAAGTTACCCAGTGGTGTGACAAAAGAAGCCACAGAGAATCCAAATTCATTCTTATTACATCTTATAATCACTCCACTCTGACCTGGGTGGTCACAAAGGTCATGGAGTTATAGAGAAACACTGAAGGTTTGCACAGAACCCTGAATGCTCTCCTGAAATATGCTGGATGAAGGGAAAGTTATGTACCATGCCATCATCAGTGGAGGAAAACTGAGAGCTGGGAGAGCAGAGTGTGGTAGAGACCATGTTTATCCTATCATGTAAATATCAGAAAGATTTTAAGAATTCCAGGTTTTCAGTTAAGTTTTTTTTGGTCTCCCTGTATCCCCAACTGGCCTGGAACTCATAGAGATTCACCTGCCTCTGCCTCCCGAGTGCTGGGATTAAAGGTGTGCGTGACCATGCCTAGCTGCCTCAATTAAGTTTTGAATAGTCAATACTCCTTTGTCACAGGTGCCTGTTTTAAAGTTGGATTCGAAGTTGTCATGGTGGTGCATGCCTTTAATCCCAGCACTTGGGAGGCAGAGGCAGGTTTCAGATATTTTGCTTAAAACTCCGGGGAGTTAGTTTTTTTTTAAAAAAAAAAACAAAAAAAAAAAAAAAAAAAAAAGTTGGATTAGAATGTATACCCCTGGTTTTCAAACGTTCTGGTCTCAGGATATCTTTCTATTATTTTTCACTGCAGCTTTATTGAGGTTTAATTGACAAATAAAATTATATTTCCTAAGGTGTGTAACACGATGATTTTACACACACACACACACACACATACACACACACACACACACACAC